CACGATTGCAGGCTAAACGCGCTAACCATCTGCGCCATCGAGCTCGGTACGCTATACATAGTACAGGTACCTGGGCGTTTTTCCCCGCCCCCTACGACGGCTAACTAGAGCCATGGTCCGAGTCTCAGAGACGCCCTCCAGTTGAGCCGACCCCTTCAGTTTCGAGTGGTCCAGAGGCTCAAGACGGAGAGGAGACCCCGCCGTGTGCTGATGCCATCCGCCTGGAATACCTCTGGAGGCACTCGCCAATTCTCGGCTTGAGGTCCCCTTAGGATCTCGCCATACTCAAACCCGGTGACGCTGTAAAAGTCATCTGCGACCAACAGCATATAAAAAACTAACTAACTTTTTTCATTATTCCTGCTGCTTGGGATCCCTGACAGGTTTGTTTTCCGACCACAAAACCTTATACACGCATGCTACCTGCTCAAAAAGTGTTTTCTTAAATTATGGTATTTAGAAAAAAAAACCTTAGTAGTAGGCGAAAAGCTTCATACGTATATCAAAGGAAAAGGCGAACCATCTCATGCACCGGCGATAGCATTCGACAACATACGTGGGACACTCAGAAAGGTTTTATAAACTAAAAAAAACTAATTTCTATGAAATAAATATTTTTATTAAATCTATTCAAACAACTCTCCACCAGCCTCTACACAAAGGAGATTGTTATGCAACCATACATAGTTAGCCTAAGAACCAACAATCATGAAATATTATTTTCTAGGTTCGAAATCGCAAGTAAATGACTGTAAAAACAAAGTTTATTGACGGACACTTCTGAGAACTTAAATTATTAGGAAAACTATTTTTTTTTTGAGGTTATGTTTAATCAAACATAGGTCAACATATGAACTTAGTATGAACTCAGTATCATCATCATCATCATCAGCCTATTAATGTCCCCACTGCTGGGGCACAGGCCTTCCCTATGGATGGAATAGGGAGATTGGGCCATGACCCACCACGCGGGCCCAGTGCGGACTGGTGGGTGCTAACGACTGCAAATGCAGCCGGGACCAACGGCTTTACGTGCCTTCCGAAGCACGGAGGAGCTCGAGATAGTAAATTTTTTAGTCACCCATCCAATGACCGACGACTGCGAAAGTTGCTTAACTTCAACGATCGCAGCCGAACGCGCTAGCCACCTGCGCCATCGAGCTCCTCAATATGAAGTGAATAAATTTTACAACTAATTCATTTTATTCGGTGCGATTATAAAGAATGACTATTTTTTTTATATTAGGAAAAACTTGGTTAGGTATGAATCATGTATAAAATAAAAACTGTAGTTTTGCTTCTTATTTACTGACTATTTTTCACATAATTGTATCATATTGTATTTATTTGTTTAACACATGTATAATGTGTAAATATGCAGCGTGAATGTGTATCAGGTGCTCTTGAATAATTTGGCAGTATGATCCTCTCAGGATGTTGTGGCACAGGTTCACTAGCACTTGGTATTAAGGTCTCTGCTCTTTCGATGGCATATTAAATAGCCGAAATAGTTAAATTAAAGGAAAAACAATCGCAAATAAACACACAAAAAGGGTAATCCGAAACAAAAATGCACTTGCCGGTATATTAAACTACTATTTGGAATGCACGAATGCCACAGATTACTACGAATGCAAACTGCCTGCACCACAACCACAGAGTATCGAGTTTTATCCTTACGGCCCTTTACTTGACAACAGTTTGTCCTTGTCATGCTTTGAGCACTCACCATCAAAAAGCCTGTAGAATATGCACAGGCAACCAAATCTCTGCGCACTTTATCATTGCTATTTTTCTTTCACTTTCAAAATTCTATATCAGACGTGTGCTTTATAATTCGAAATAAATTATTTCTACCAAGTTAATAAAATCACATAATTGAAAAGTCAAACCCTTTGCCTAATCGAGAACAAAATTGGTTTGCGTCTGTATTTCCGAGTACATATAATCCGATTATATTTAGAGTAAATAAGGCTCCTTCTTGGTAAGTTCGCTACACCGATACTAATAATAAAAAGGGTAAATTTAAAAAAATCAAAAAACTCGACTGCTTTTATATTACTTCAAATAAAAACTGAAAAGAAAAAAACAAGTCCAGTAGTCTATAATTCTGAACAAAGCTACGTTAACAGTCGGGACCCATTAGATATACTAGGATGGATCATTTTTTTTCAATAATAAGAGATTATTTGTTACACACATATATTTATATGTGTGAAACAAATAATCTCTCAAACCTGAACCGATTTCGAATATTCATTCACAATAAGGTAGCTACATTACTTAATATATTTTTAAGCATTAATTTCAATAAGTTGATTTATCTGCTCGATTAATAAAGCTAAGGAAAACTTTTACTTGAAAAAAATCCATTCTAACAACTTCTCCGAAAGGACTTTCTTTTTAGTTTTTTTTCTTTATAACATTATATCCGAGTGACATAGCTTTATTCTACCCCATTAAAATAAATTTCACCCATGCAATATCAGAGCGGATCACTAGTATATAATATTAGAGACTATAATATAATATTAGAGATGCGAAAGTGAGTTTGTTTGTAACGCTTCCGCGCTCTAATGCTAAATCAATTATGATGAATTTCCCTATAGAAATAGATGAGGCCTTGGTTCTAAGCTACATTATCGAAATATTTATAGTAGGGTGATGGGAGGGATGATTTACATATAAAACTTTATATTTGCTTCGAATTTTGCAGAATTATCTTTTATAATTACAAAACCAACATTATTGCGAGCTGATTAATAAAGACGAGGAGTCTATTAGGTATGTACCTACTAGCGAATAGTAGGTTATTTCTTATTATGTTAATTAACCCTTTAGTATAATGATGTAATATCGTTAAAATAGACTTTTAAAACCGTTTTATTCTGAGTTTTTCATTAGATTCCAAAATTATAATTTATTTTTCATCATTTAATAAGAAGGAATTTTATCACAGTTTTATTGTAAGGATTTCGTATGGGATTAGATACTGCGAGTAGCCCATTTTATTTCTTTTCCTCCTAGGTTTTTTCTACGTTTATAAATACCAAAATTCATCACTTGTCCCACCATTCCCGCAGTATACTCGTACTCCTGCATTAGCACCGCGCTATCACTTTGTCATCGTAACACTGTTGTAAATAAAATATTTGTCGCAATCACGCAGAGTAAAAGGCAAAGTTTATCGTCTTTAAATATCAAAAGCGATAAGAGTATTTGTTTTGATAAAAAATAATTTGTTTATACAAAATATGTATTTTGGATATTTATTTCAAATAATATTTGATTTTTGATTATCTATTTTAGCTAGAAAGGCTTACACATTAAAAATATATATGTGCTGTCCCGAACTTTTTTGTAGAACTATATAAGAGATACATTTCCACCATACATTATATCCATGTAACTTTTATTGTCTTTGCAGTGCAGGCCATAATGGCTCGCAGATGGGAGGTTTTTTCCGTCTTACGTGATTTATTTTTATATTTTGGCCAATTTCCCAAATAACAACATAAATTATAATCTATTATTATGTATGAGCTTTATTATTGGTTAATTTGATTAAAATCCATTTAGTATTTTTTGAGTGAAAAAGTTACAAATATCCATACAAACTTAAGATTTAAATTAAAAGCGCAAGTGGTTAATACACAACTTTAAATCGTTGTAGATCCTAAACAATCATTTAAAATGAAAAATAGTGTAGAGAACCTAAACATAATTTTCGATTATCTAGACAATGATAACCCGACATATTTTGCCAACTTATTTTTTTTTCTTTCTCACAATATGGCGCCCAGTTATCTCCATATTGATTTTCGATTATTATCATATCTTTAGTAGCATCTGCATGATTAAGACGAATCGATTGATGTATAAATCATCAAAATCGGTCCACGCGTTTGTTCTCTAGTGTGCCACAAAGGAACATACATACATATATGTTCCTTTGTGGCACACTAGAGAAAAAAAAGCTTATTACAAAGTATCTGATTATATTACAGACAAAAATGCTTGGGTTTGAACTGTTCCAATCATTCCAACAGGTTTTCTATATTAAATAAATCTTGATTGTATTGACGTTGTAACAACATAATGATTTGTAAATGTTGTTACATTATGCTTTTAATGTTGTGGAGTTTTTTTCGCTCGTTTTTCTCTGCAGCTAAAAAATATGTCCAATAACGAGTGGTAGGGAAAAAAAAATGTTTGGACGATTCAAAAGTGTTGTACTATACATCCAATTTGAATAAAGATATATTGATTTCTGATTTCTGATTTCTATATAGACTGTTAAACACTATACCCTGTATGCGCGTCGCGCTTCGCGCTCTTGCATTGCGCAGTCGGGTATAAAGCTCTAAAGTCTTCAACTCATTCAAATTACAGGAGAATCATAAAATGTCATCTTACTACTTCTATAAAAACATTAATAAGTCATACGATATTGTTACTTATCACTGTACTTACCAAGATATTCTGTACCAATTTACCTGGGTTTTTTTCTGGGTTAATTCTGACCCAGAAAAAACCCTATATTTTAATCTCGCGTGTTATTTGTTTTCAATATTATGTTTGTTTACAAGTTCAATGTGTCTCAATTGAAATCTCATTAAATTCTTATCAGCTCGTGTATACTCCATAAAGAGGCTTATTCTCAGCTTCTGCATCGCGTTCGAAAACATTTATTCGAATAATTAATAATACGACGTAATGTTGTTTCATGATTTGAAAACGTTCACAACAAAAGAGTGTTGTTTGAATTAATAAACTACTTACCATTAGAGAATAGAAACATCTACTTGTAATTCTGATAGAAACAGCTACTCGCGTACTTCGACATTTTACTTACGGCAATTTAGTTTGTCATTAAATTGTTATTTCGCTGATAAAGTCTGCATGAGAGAGTCATCTCGTGCTTGTATTCACATTCAATGGATTTACAAATAATTTACAAATTAATGAATGTATAGTCGACCAGTTAATGTAACGGTAGCGATTTGCGATGTTGCCTTCTGAGCAGAGGGATCGAATCCTGACAGTGATCTCAAATTTTTGTTCCTGAGTCATGATTTGTTCAATATTTCGGTATTTTGAACGTTTTTTTATTTCAATCCCCAGGAATAATTGTTGTGTATAGCCCGAAAATATATTATGTTGACGTAGAAGGAGAAACACGAAACTTCGGTCGGAAATACGAACGACGTGCGATGTATAGAATGAACCCCTAAGATACATTGCATATAATCCAGTTTATATTGAATTGTCTTATTAGTATGCCAAAGACCCAGTGAGATACTGGAGGCGGCGAGACCAAATAAAAAATATAGTTTAAAATAGGTTGTGTTACGGTTGATAGATTTCGATGTTAAATCATGAGATGTGATTTAATTATTTTTATTTAAATCAACACTACTTTAAGATAGGAAATTTAGGTGTAATCTGGAAGTGATTAAGGAAAATAACGTTATTAATAGTGATCCAATTAACAAAATGGAGATGTTTAAAGTTGCATTAGTTACTGGGCTGATGATTACAAGATCTTGTGTATCCGAGGAAAGAATGGTTCAAAATAAGGTAAGATTAATAAGATTGACAGCTAAGTGGTACGGTGATGGTAGTTATTATTTTGAGCGTGATAGCGTCATTGATAATGAACGACATTTTCTTTTAGTTTATAATTGTTGAATTATTGACATTTAATAACTTATTATGAAAAGTAATAATAACCTAACTAAGGGTTATTATTTACCTAACTACTTTGGTATCATACACTTACAAATTTAGTTATTTTTCTTACTTATAATTATATCACTCAAGTGAAATATGGCGACTTATTGCGGACTTTAATCAATCAAATACACAATACGATAAAAATGCGATCAAATAGTTTTATGTTTTATATCTTATCTTTTCTGTGGTTTTAATTGTTATTAAAGGGCATTTGTTTATTAAATCAAAGTACTTACCAGAGCAACATAACCATTATGAAGATATTTTCGATATTTTTTCACGGTAATTTCACGACCAGCTAAACATTTTTTAAGTGAGTTCAAAAAGGAGGAGATCCTCACATCGTCAGTTTTTTAGTTATAAGCATATTCAGGAATACTTTAGTTTCCGGGGAAAAATATAACGAATTTAATTTTCCTGTTTAACACAAAAATATTTATTAGTAAGCGATCGTCTGCGTCATTATAATTTGGCTGTGCTTTCTAATTGTTTTCTGTGTATTTCAGGTGCCAGAAATAATAAAATCAGATCATTTAAATAACGGTAAGCATTTACTTTCTATACTTATACTTCATTATTGTCTGATTGGCTATTCTTTTAACACACTGATACAATCACTGGTTTGCACTGTAGTTATTATTATGTAGTTTTGAATAATTGTTTAATTAACGAAATATTTTATAGACTGTAGAATATACAAGACGTTAATAATACAGTTATTAAAGAGCAATATTGTATATCGACTCGAGTTTTTAATGGCAGGACCAAGTTGGTAGTGTCTGTAAAAAAGTAACGGGAACCCTGCGTGCCCTTTATCGAATGAAAAATTTTTTGCCGGTCAATATCAAGGCAATGCTTGTGCAAACATTAATATTTCCCATAATCGACTATGGTGATTTGTGCTACCTCGACCTGTATGCAGATCTACTCAACAAACTTGATCGCCTTCAGAATAACTGCATTCGATTCGTTTTCAATCTGAGAAAATATAAGCATGTGTCCGCATACCGATCTCTCTTAAAATGAATGCCCATTAGGCAGCGCAGAAGTATGCGGGCTCTGACCACCCTGTTCTCTTTGCTGGATTCTCCTTATGCTCCCCCTTATCTCACTTCTCAATTTCAGTACTTATGTACCTCTCATAGAAAATCTTCGATCTTCTTCTAATCGTTTACTTATCGTTCCATCACACTGCTCCGATATTATTCACTCTTCCTTTTTCGTAAAAACGATACTTTTGTGGAATGATCTCCCGCTAGATATCAGAATGTCCCCCAGTAAATATACCTTTAAAACCAAACTGCGAAGCTTTTTATTAGAACAGCCGTTTCGTTGAGTGGTTTGTCGTCATTATTTTGTATTTATTTTGGAAATATGTATGTATTTGTGTATTTATATAAATATATTAACTTATGTATGTGTATGTTTATTATTTTTATATTATTTATATTTATTATTTTTATAAATTTCTCCTTCAATGTGATTTCCACTTCAGTTGTACACCCTACCACTATTAATAACCACAACATCCTATGGTTGACTGGTAAAGAATGCCTACGGCATTAAGTCCACCATTGCACATTTGTGCGTAAAGAATAAATAAATAAAAAAAAATAATAAACACAGAGGGACGACAACCGTAACTTGAGGATTTTGTATAAAGTTACCATTTTACATTATTATGTGTATGGATATAAGCAAAAGTAGTGGTGAAATTAAATCTTTTGCACCCCGGTCTGTCTAATATATTAAAATATATTAAATAAATGATTATATTTATAAATGCTGAATTTTTAAATGCATTTAATGTACCTTTTGGAACATCTGATTTTTTTATAGATAGGTAAAAACTAAATGTAATAAAGGCATGATCTACAAAGCAGTTAGGTTGAAGAGAACGTAAACATTACTATGCTTAAATTACTTAAAAACTAAAAAATAATATATACCAAGCAGAATTGGAACTATATAATATAATATAAATATATAAAAAAATATAATACATAATATAAATATATAAATATAAATATTTCCAACACACACACCAATTAGCCTAGCCCCAAAGTAAGCACTATAAGGCTTGTGTTATGGGATACTAGGGTAACGGATAGAATACATATACTGTACATATATAAGTATATTTATATATAAATACATATTAAACATCCATGACTGGAGTACAAATGCATATATTCATCACACAAACATCTGCCCCCACCGGGATTCGAACCCGGGACCTCTCGAGTCGGCGACACCATGAAAGCCGGCGTACAAACCACTCGGCCACGGAGGTCGTCACTATGGAAACTAGGTATAACGAATGTATTTACCAATTTCTATACTAGAAATTTAGTGTATGGGATTTTTTTGCACGCAGGTCTCACAACCGGTGTGTCTAATGAAACAAACGATATAAATATAAATCCTGATTTAAAAAGGTCATTAGATTGGATATTTGGAGAAAATAACACTATTTCAGATACTACCTGTATCTGAAATAGTGTTATTTTCTCCAAATACAAAAATTAAATAAAGGCATGATATACGTGCATATAAAATTTTGCAATATTTATTTCTGTCTGTTTTTACAGATCTATTGACTATAAATAATAATACAATAACCACAACCACACAAAGCTCTGTAAGTTGAACATATTTCCTAAAAAGAGTGCTTTTTTACCAATGAAATATTTTCATATTTAATATGATGTTTATTTTGCAGATACTTACCCAAATTCCTACAATGAAAGAGCCAAAACAAGAATTAGGAACCATAGCCACCAAAGCTAGTAAGTATAAAACATTAGGTGATTTTTTATAATCTACATTGTAGATAACATAACTAGAAAAATCATTTCATTTTACAGCTTCCACCGAATCTACAATATCAAATGTAAGTTGTAAATGTATCTTTTATAAACATTATTACGTACCTTTTTTGATTGAAAAATTATTAAATATTTATTTAAGTACCTATTAGTTACTGCATAGGTTGCATAGCATATTATTGATATAGGTAGTTCATGAAAAACTCTGCATGAAGTCTCCATATTTCATATTCTTATTTAGAACTGTACTAGTAACGGATTTCAGGAAAAGTATAATATAATCTATACGTATAATCTATCTATAAGTCTGAACATATAAATAAAATTGGAGTGTCTGTTTGTAATATTGAAAAACCCGCTTTTTACTACATGGATATGAATTTATATACGGTACATATGTTATGGGCCAAGTGATTAATGCGGGCAGTATTCATAATGCCAGGGCAGTGTGAATAATGCCCAGCCATGTCGGGCCAAGTGATTAATTGCAATCTAAACTCACCTACCTATTATTAATAAATTTCAAGATAGCGTTTATCACAAAATATCGTACTTACCAGTTTATAGTAATAATAATATTTTGTATGAAGATTTATTCAATTTAATTAAAGATGAATTTAATATAATATTCAAACGCAAAGTTATTAAATGCCATAGCTTGAAAAAGAAATTTAGTGATTGGGCCACACCGGGTATTTACAAAAGTAGAAATAAGTTGTATCAATTATATGCTCTCAAGGCAACCTCATCTGATCCTAAGTTTATAGAATATGTCAAAAACTATTCAAAAACTTTTAAAAAGGTGTGTGCCATAGCAAAAGCTAAGTTTTTATCAAAAAAAATTAGTCTTTCCGATAATAAAATAAAGACAACTTGGAATATAATTAATAATGAAACTGGAAGAAATAAATTTAATGAACACACATATTCTTTAAAAATAGACAATAAGATTATTAGGACAGATGATGCCGTTGCAAACACTTTTGAAAATTTCTTTTCTAGTGCACCATTTGAAACAACTAGAAATCTTAATTCTTGTTCTAGGTTAGCAATGACCCTTCTTGAGTCAAGTGTTGATAAGTGCAGTAATGATTTTCATTTTAGACATATCAGTAGTGACTGTATTATAAAAACTTTTAACTCAATTAAAATTAAAAAGACAGAGGATTATTGGGGAATATCAACATATATAATAAAACCGATTATCACTGTTATTGCGCCACAACTGGCCATATTTAACAAATGTATTGATGAGGGAGTGTTTCCAGATCTAATGAAATGTGCTAAAGTTATCCCTCTCTTTAAGGCTGGTGACAAATCAGATCCCAGCAATTTTAGGCCTATATCTGTATTACCAGCGCTAAGTAAAGTATTTGAGAAAATAATTTATAACCAATTACTAGCACACTTTTCTATAAATAAGCTATTTCATTTAAAACAGTTTGGTTTCACTAGAGGCAAAAGTACTACTGATGCTGGAACTGCACTTCTCAAACACATCTTTGATATATGGGAGAGTAAGCACGATGCTATTGGCATTTTTTGCGACTTATCAAAGGCGTTTGACTGCGTTAGCCATGAAACATTGTTAAATAAAATGAAGCATTATGGTGTATCAAATATTTCACTAAGTCTGATACAGTCTTATCTTTCTGCTAGGATTCAGAAAGTAGTTATAAATGAAGCTGAGTCTATAGGAGCACTCATTTCTATGGGCGTGCCCCAGGGTTCAATATTGGGCCCATTGCTTTTCCTTATTTATATCAATGACCTTCCTCACTTTACAAGAGATTTGTGTGAGACAGTACTATTTGCTGATGACACCTCTTTATTGTTTAAAGCTAGAAGAGGAAATGATTGTTATGACGAAGTAAATTGTGCTCTCTCTGAAGTCCTTCACTGGTTTACGGTAAATAATTTAAAACTTAACTCCAGTAAAACAAAATGCGTTAAGTTTACTCTACCTAATGTGAGGCAGGTTAATACTAGTATAAAAATAAATGACCAGCCTGTAGAGTTAGTGGATTTTACAAAGTTTCTGGGTATTACTTTAGACTCTCGTCTGCAATGGGATCCTCATATTGATGCCTTGTTAAGTAGATTGAACTCTGCAGCTTTCGCTGTTAAAAAGATAAGACTCTTAACTGATGTGGAAACGGCCAGATTAGTTTACTTTGGTTACTTTCACAGTGTTATGTCATATGGCCTTTTGTTGTGGGGCTCAGCCGCTAATATCGAAAGTATTTTCATACTGCAAAAGAGAGCTGTTCGCGCCATATACAATTTAAAGGCAAGAGAATCCCTTAGAGAAAAATTTAAAGAAATTAATATTTTAACACTGGCGTCGCAATACATTTATGAAAATTTAATATATGTAAGAAAAAACTATGATGAATTTGCAAAAAAAAGTCAAACCCATAACTTTAACACGAGATTTAAGAACAAGCTTGCCGTTCCATGTTTCAGACTTCAAAAATCAAGAGGTTCATTTCTGGGTTGTAGTATTGCATTGTTTAACAAAGTTCCCCAAGATCTGATTGAGCTTCCACTGACTAAATTTAAATCTCAGATCAAAAATACTCTTATGAATAAGGGCTATTATAAAGTTGATGATTATCTAAATGATCGTAATGCATGGACATAGTGTTTCTTATAATTTGATATTAAATGGGTATTACTCATTTTTCATAACAGTAATATTGTACCTATCTAATGCCGCTTCCTATATACTACTTAAAATGTTAACTATAATATTAATTGTAACTATTCATATTTTAGATGATGTAATGGAAAGTGACTTCAGACGTATTTCTGAAGTAATTTTTCAAATTGACGACACTGTATATAACAATACAGGGAGAAAAAAACAGCCCTTGCTGAGTTTCTTGCCGGTTCTTCTCAGTACAAGGTCTCCCGCCGTAGTTTTGCGAACCGATGGCGTAGCTTCTTGACCTTCACAAGTGCTTGTAACAGCCTAGACTGAATAAATGACATTTCATTTCATTTCATTTCATTTCATTTCATTTCATTTCATTTCATTTCATTTCATTTCATTTCATTTCATTTCATTTCATTTCATTTCATTTCATTTCATTTCATTTCATTTCATTTCATTTCATTTCATTTCATTTCATTTCATTTCATTTCATTTCATTTCATTTCATTTCATTTCATTTCATTTCATTTCATTTCATTTCATTTCATTTCATTTCATTTCATTTCATTTCATTTCATTTCATTTCATTTCATTTCATTTCATTTCATTTCATTTCATTTCATTTCATTTCATTTCATTTCATTTCATTTCATTTCATTTCATTTCATTTCATTTCATTTCATTTCATTTCATTTCATTTCATTTCATTTCATTTCATTTCATTTCATTTCATTTCATTTCATTTCATTTCATTTCATTTCATTTCATTTCATTTCATTTCATTTCATTTCATTTCATTTCATTTCATTTCATTTCATTTCATTTCATTTCATTTCATTTCATTTCATTTCATTTCATTTCATTTCATTTCATTTCATTTCATTTCATTTCATTCATTTCATTTCATTTCATTTCATTTCATTCATTCATTTCATTTCATTTCATTTCATTTCATTTCATTTCATTTCATTTCATTTCATTTCATTTCATTTCATTTCATTTCATTTCATTTCATTTCATTTCATTTCATTTCATTTCATTTCATTTCATTTCATTTCATTTCATTTCATTTCATTTCATTTCATTTCATTTCATTTCATTTCATTTCATTTCATTTCATTTCATTTCATTTCATTTCATTTCATTTCATTTCATTTCATTTCATTTCATTTCATTTCATTTCATTTCATTTCATTTCATTTCATTTCATTTCATTTCATTTCATTTCATTTCATTTCATTTCATTTCATTTCATTTCATTTCATTTCATTTCATTTCATTTCATTTCATTTCATTTCATTTCATTTCATTTCATTTCATTTCATTTCATTTCATTTCATTTCATTTCATTTCATTTCATTTCATTTCATTTCATTTCATTTCATTTCATTTCATTTCATTCATTTCATTTCATTTCATTTCATTTCATTTCATTTCATTTCATTTCATTTCATTTCATTTCATTTCATTTCATTTCATTTCATTTCATTTCATTTCATTTCATTTCATTTCATTTCATTTCATTTCATTTCATTTCATTTCATTTCATTTCATTTCATTTCATTTCATTTCATTTCATTTCATTTCATTTCATTTCATTTCATTTCATTTCATTTCATTTCATTTCATTTCATTTCATTTCATTTCATTTCATTTCATTTCATTTCATTTCATTTCATTTCATTTCATTTCATTTCATTTCATTTCATTTCATTTCATTTCATTTCATTTCATTTCATTTCATTTCATTTCATTTCATTTCATTTCATTTCATTTCATTTCATTTCATTTCATTTCATTTCATTTCATTTCATTTCATTTCATTTCATTTCATTTCATTTCATTTCATTTCATTTCATTTCATTTCATTTCATTTCATTTCATTTCATTTCATTTCATTTCATTTCATTTCATTTCATTTCATTTCATTTCATTTCATTTCATTTCATTTCATTTCATTTCATTTCATTTCATTTCATTTCATTTCATTTCATTTCATTTCATTTCATTTCATTTCATTTCATTTCATTTCATTTCATTTCATTTCATTTCATTTCATTTCATTTCATTTCATTTCATTTCATTTCATTTCATTTCATTTCATTTCATTTCATTTCATTTCATTTCATTTCATTTCATTTCATTTCATTTCATTTCATTTCATTTCATTTCATTTCATTTCATTTCATTTCATTTCATTTCATTTCATTTCATTTCATTTCATTTCATTTCATTTCATTTCATTTCATTTCATTTCATTTCATTTCATTTCATTTCATTTCATATCACATTGCCCGGCTATTATTAGTAACGCCGGACGGCTCGTAGTCCATGTAATAAGTCAGTTTGAGATAGCTTGAATTTATCGCTTGGACCGGGCAGTATGAATAAAGCCAAAACGTTGGTACTTTTGTCAAAATGACAGATGTCTCGCCATTTTGTGTTAGTTTTGAGATCTTGGTAAATAAAAAATAGTATGGGCACAACACTTAGAAAAAAAAGGTAAATGTGGCTTTACAACAGTCTTTAATTCAGAACCGACTTGGTCAACCCCGACACGCCGTGATCTTTGTCTGCCCTACCTCTAGAGTGTTATTTAGAGCCCGGAGGCGTGGAGGGAGGGCAGCCCCCGCCTGCTGTGACAAAGCATCCGCAAGCATCGTGCGACCCGTAGTGCCTGAGGCTGGTTGCCGCCGGAGGTGGCGACCAACAAGCCGAAGGTGTGAAGGGGAGTGATGCATGTGACTTTGTCACGCAAAGGCGGAGGTAGCAGCTATTCCCGCAGCGCCGGAGATAGGGCAGAAGTACTGGTTCTTACTTCCTTAGTCCTCGCATCCTAAAAAATATGGAACCATAAATTCTGAACATTTAACAGATTTAATGAATTTTTCAAACAAACTGCATTCAAACCACTATAGACTATAGTTTCTAAATTTAGCCATTCGTAAATTGATCGAAGTAAAACCTAAGTCTGATTATTTAAGTTTTAAAAATAAATACTAAACTATAAAGCATGTTTTTATTATTATTCTACCCGATAATTAATTTCATTACTTGTAATATCGGTCTATCTAAGTATTCATTTGAAAGTATTAAACATGCTTTACATCATTCTGCCCAATAGGCACTGGACATTATTCATAATGCCCGGGCAATGTGATAAATTGATTGGTCATAATCACATTGCCCGCTCTTATTTGACATTATTCATATTGCCCGAGCATTATGCATAATGCCCGCATAATCACTTAGCCCATAACATATACACCAAAATAACATGTTTTACATTTTTTTATGTCTGTCTGTTTGTTCCGGCTAATCTCTGAAATGGCTGGACCGATTTTGACGGGACATTTATTGGCAGGTAGCTGATGTAATAAGGAGTAACTAAGGCTACTTTTATTTTAGAAAAATAATGTTGCAATGTTCAAAAGTAGTGATAAGTACCGCGCGCAGCTCAAGCGCATGCCACCACTATGCCGTCACGTCGGGTGCCTCCCACCACTTTTCCCATCAACGGATCAATATCACAAAGGCTGCCTGTCGCCTCAGAACGAGCGAGAGGGCTATTGCTGACGGTTGTGTCTCAAAGACTTCATTTAGAAATTGATTTCCAGTACTTATCATAGTTTTGATTGATAGGTATCCTTTATAATTTCACCGATCCAGGTTCTTGAAAGATTAAAAAAAAAAAACTAAAGTTAACACGGACGAAGTCGCGGGCGGCCGCTAGTCATATTATAATTTTAATAAATAATTCTAATAATAGAACTATTTATAAATAATAAATAGTTTCTTTGAATCAAACTATGGTTTATTTTATGAGGAATCTGTACATCAACAGTTACCAGCCGAATATAATTTTAAACCAGAACAGTCAAATGACAGTGATATATCGCCAAATGAAGAAGATCTTAAAAAGTATATCGACGAAATATTTGGGAATTCTTCCTTGAAATCAGGTAAAGATAAATCTATTGGTATAACATTTATATTGCTAGATTGAAATCAGTGATGCATGATATTCCAAAAACAAATATTATTGCCGGAATTAATTAAAATAAAATGACACAGACAAATTGTTTCGTGTCTTTGAAAGTTTATTTTAGGCATTCAACTCAACGATATTAAATACCTTAGATATACCACGTGCACTCAAAATGTGTCCCAATCAAGAAGGGCTTGAACTCCACTCAAGCACTTCTTAGTTCACAGTCACACGCGGACCGTTGAAAAGTCAAGATGCCGCAGAGCTCAGAGCTGTTGAATAGAATGAAAAATGATAATTGAAAACCATCATCGAGTGTAAACTAAGTGTCAGATTAATGAAAGCAATCAGAACAGCCACGCCAGAAAAAACTTACCATTTCTGTTTTCTTCAATTAGAACCGCGTGACCCATTATGTGTTTTTGACAGATCGTTGTACTAATAGTAAAGAAAATGACTTCAATAAATTTTAAAGATTACGTGAGGAATACGTATGAATCTGAATAGGCTTAGTTTGAAGGGACATAATAGATATTGTTGATGTGTGAATGATTGAGTTATCAATGAAAAAAAACAATTAATTGAATACAAGCTATAGATACATTAGATCTATAAACCATAATATAATTTAAAAAAAAATTACCAGCTTCCTCATCAACAACGGCGGTGACACTTGAAACAACCACACAGGCACAGGTATGTAGTAACGAAATGGAAATAAAGTACATTTTCAAGGTAAAGTTGAAAGAATATTTAAGTAAGTTATTGTTTTTTTCAGGAATTTCCTGCGAATACTAATAATGCATCGATGGATAGCTCAATGATTTCTAATGCCTTTAGAATAGGAGAAAAGCCACAAGAAGGTCAATCGAAAAAAAATGATTTCAGTAAGTTCGTAAATGTACTAAAACTGTAGCTATAGATGAGTTCATTGACGGAATAGCCTAATGTCATTGTAACAATGAAACCAACTTACCAACTTTTAAAGTCGGGGCTATGAGAAAAGTAAAGCCTAATGGGCATTTAATCTGTGGAATCCAAATGTGCTCTGCCGATCGTGGGCGCCTGCCCTGCACAGTCACAGCCGATAAATCTATTATTATAATAATAATTATATATATGAAATTACACAAGTCAACAAAATGAAAAAAAATTTTTGAGTCGTCTAATTGTTTATATCGAAAAATAACCAGAAACCTCATTTTTATTTTAAAAAGTTTGCTTTTGTACTTTTTAAAATGATAAATAAATATGTATGACTTTTGTAAAAGGCTGAGGATCTACCGCTTTTAATAAGCAAAAAAAGGAGTGCCGAAGGATATTGGGTATGGAATAGGAAGCAGTAGAGCAATTACTCAGTGCATGTACACACCTTTTAGAGAAACGACGTATTTTGTAAATGCCTAGAGCGGTAAATGCCCTCCAAAATGAGTAAAAACTATGTGGACCCTGTTTGCTTTATTTGCGGATATTTTTTTAAATTTAGAGTCATAACAATGGTTTAACCTGTAGTTAAAGACTTAATTAAACATATGAAGCTTAATTTTAACTTCCTATTCGACTTCAGGATAAAATATGGATGCCTCATGACGATATACAAAATTTCTAAGTTATTTTTGTTTACTTCAATACCAGCAGCACATTCAGATTGTCAGAAAAAGAATTATAATATTTAGTATGATATAGTTTTATTCATTATGGACCCTATCATTATATTATGCCTCAGTTGCATGAAAAAAATCTTTATTGAAGGGAAACGACGTATTTTGTGAGTCTTGAGCGGTAAAATATCTTCCAAAATGAGTAAAAACTACGTCGACTCTGTTTGATTTATTTCCGGAGATTTTATTAAATTTAGGATCAAAAAATGTTGTTTATCCAGTAGTAAAAGGCATAATTAAGCATATGAAGCTTACTTTAACTTTCTATTCGAAGTCAGGATAAAATATGGGCGTCGCATGAGGATATACCAAATTTCCATGGTATTTTGTTTACTTCAGAAAATTTGCAGACTAAAAATTATAAAATATGCTAAAAATATCAATTTTTAAAACTAAATAAATATATTTTTTATATACAGAGACTTGGTTTATTTGTCTAAAGAAAATAAAAGAGTTTAAAATAAATATATTAATGATTATTTACTTGTTATATACAAGTTAAACAAAGAAGTTTGCAGTTTTCCATGAAATTTAAAATTTCATTCTGATAGCTACAAAAGCAAACTTTTTTAAATAAAAATATTGTTTCTTACATTAATTAGGTATAAGAAATCAAAAACTGGTACAAAGAATCAAAACTCGTGTTGACTTGTGTTATTAATTCGCACAAGGCCAGTATGGTAGATTATGGATCGCACTCTATTAGTTGTATGTTTGAATCTATCTATTTTTGACTTCATCTGTTAGGTTTCATGTGGCATCTGCAGCTGTTGCCGCTTTTTATTCTGTTTATTTATAAAAGACTTTTTGTCCAAAATAGATATGTCACGAAGCTTTACTTAATTTAGTAATTTATTTTGTAGGTTTTCGACAATTTATATTTTTTTTTACCAAATTGTAAAAAAATATAATTCTAATTATAAAATAAATATTATCTTTTATATGTATGTAATAAAACTGTGGTAATGTATCTGTACATGTTTGTTTGTTTTTCTTTTCAGAATTTATCATCATAGATTGGGTAAGATACAATTTTATTAGTGTGTTTTCCGTAGATGACATAATTTTCTAAAATAATTTTGACCATTGTCAGGATAAAGAAATTGATGACAGTATCACGGATTCATATCAGAGAAGCTTGGCCTATAAACCTCAATTTCGTTCTACAGTTTACGGTATTCTTTTCCAATTGTTTATGGTAACATTTGTTATTTATAACAAACACAATTAAATATTTTAAAAACCTTTTTTCATTTTCGCTATAGGCGACGAAGACGAGTCTGAAGAGACAGAAAGCACAACAGAAAAAGTAAGCAAAGAAACCGAAGCAAGTATAAATAATGATATCATTTTACAATGAAGTGCGTGATGGCTACCATTTCAATGACAATAATAATTACGTTCAATGAAAATTAAATACTTTTGGACAGCTTGCATATTTAACCTGCTTGGAATTTGTCTAAATCATCATCATCACCAGTCTGTTAATGTCCCCACTGCAATCCACGGATCTTCCCTACGGATGGGATAGGGTGGCTGGGCCGTGACCCACTATGCGGGCTCAGTGCGAATTGGTGGTGCTAGCGACTGTAGATGTAGCCGGGACTTACTTGAAATACCTTTTCAAGTAAGCCCCGGCTACATTTACAAGCACAGAGGAGCTCAAGATAATAATTTTTTGGTCACCCATCCAATGACCTACCATTGTAAATGTTGCTTAACGTTCACGATCACAGGTCGAATCCCCTGACAACCTGCGCCATCGAGCTCCTCATTTGTCTAGATATCGTTGTCTTCATATGAATTTGTCACGTGTTTAATGTTTCAATTAAACTCAAATATCAAAAAAGGGATACACTTGGTCCAGGTATGGGGCTGAAATTAAGTTTCGAATTACGTTCTTTGCTATGACTATCATGATGTCTGATCACATTGCTACTGAGACCTTTATCGAATTAGCGTCTTTTGCTTTGACGATCATGATATCTATTGTCTAACCGCGATGCTACCGATAGATCTTTATCGCATTAGCGTCCATTGCTATGACTATCATGATTAGGGCATCGAAACCCGGTTCAGACCCGGAGTAGACTACATGTGCATTCGGTATGATTTTCATCTTAGCCATGTTCATCTTAAGACTTCGGGAAGCACTACTAAAATCTTTAAGCATCGTGTTCAGATCTTCCAAGGTCTCAGCCGTACTATATCAGCGAAACGAAGATATGTAAGGTCAATATCATCATCAGCCGATGAACGTCTATTGCTGGAAATATGCCTCCTCTGGGATTTCCATATGGCACGATCCTGCGCTCTGCGCTCTCTGCATCCAGTGGATCCCCCCGACTCGCCTGATGTCGTCAGTCCCCCTCGTGTGGGGTCTACCGACACTGAGCTTCCCAGTGCGAGGTCGCCATTGAAGCACCTTGGGACCCCAACGTTCATGGGTTTGCCAAGTTATGCCCATTATCACTTCAGCTTGGCGATCCGTTGAGCTATGTCGGTTGGTCTTCTATGGATTTCCTCGTTTCTCATTCGATCACGTAGAGAAACACCGAGCATAGCTTTCTCCATCGTTCGCTGTGTGACTCGGAGCCATCTTATGAGGCCCATAGTCAACGATCATGTCTTAGCTCCGTATTGTTCTTCAGGCACTGAGGTATTTCCGACAAGAAGACAGCACGTAGTTTCTCAAACACTGCCCAGCCGAATTGGATTTGTGGGGAACCCACTACATATTTATTCACAACACATATAAATAAAACACATATTTTATAAATTTATATACTAAAATAAAGTACGTATAAATAATACATAATATTACAGTATGTATAAATAATATAATAAAACAGTTATAGAAAACATATTAATAATATTTACATATACATAAACAAATACCTTACATAATATATTCCATAAAATTATATACATTAGATAAACATAAGTTACATACACAACATAACATAAATTAAATATCAACAAAATATTTTTTTCTGTTGACACAAATGTTTATTTCGTTGATACAATACGGCAACGGCAGTAGACACGCGCAACGCAAAAACCGGTCGTGGTAAGCCTTTTGTTAGAACGCAAGCGCGCGCGGACAGCGTACGCGCATCTCCCCGCACCAGTCATGATATATACGTCGGACGGGGAATCCATGCCCTAAGTATCGCCGCTCTGTAGCTTACGCAGTGTATTCACGCTACCGCTTATGTGTATTTTCTGTTTCTCTGTGCTTTTGTTGAACTGTTTGCTGTTTCTATTGTTGCTGTTTTGAATTGTGTGTTTACAAACTCCTTCTGTTATTATTCTTGGACTTTGTGTTTGTGATAAATAGAAATCGTAAGTGAATAACAACTTTTTATTTACATAGAAACCCATAACCACAGATTTGTTGGTGGTTTTCAGCCCACTTTCAGGAGATCTGCTGTAATTCCGTCATCCCCTGGCGCCTTATTGTTGTTAAGTTGTTTGAGAGCGTTACTTATATCACTGAGACATCATTGAATTCGTGCCATTTTGTCGACATGACGAAGTCAATTTCATTTCTTGCCGAACCATCAGGGCTTAACCACGCCCACTTCCTATTGGGCGACTTCCTGAAGAAGTAGTTCATCATAAAGAGACCCTCCTTCTTCATGAAGTCAGCCAGCATTTGGCCCCTTTGGTTTCGTTGTCCATACCCGAATTTACCCACCTTCAACTCGAAACCGTCACGTTCGCCCAGTTAGTAAGAGCCCAAGGTATGCATGGCTTTAATTATATCCTCACCTACCACCTCGTCAGGATGTGCCGAGGTCGGCCGTATACCGTTTGGTAATTCTGAGTATCAGGTACGCTACCCTGTTCGACACGCTTCCGACTTCGACAATGCTATTCACGAGGGACTTGTAGACAATGCAGCTGACACCAGCTTGGAACTGTTGCTCGCCCTCCCTGTAGTAGAGCAAGTAGCAGGATTGAAGGATTATCGAGTCCTCTCTCTCTCTCTCTATGGACTTCAGATAATCCTATAATATCCCAGCGCAATTTATTCACTGCCTCTTCCATCTCTATGATTTTCTAGTCGGTCCTTAAAGTGCGTGCGTTATATATTGCCAGGTCTAGTAGGCGGGGTTGGCAGCGGAATCTCTTCCGGAGATTCTTATTACCCCATGCCCCGCCGTTACTCTGACCGCTGCCGAAGCCAGAGACAGCGAAGCCGCCGGGAACTGAGGGCTGTCGTTTCTTGTGTCTTTCCCATAGAAGGTGTTGCTGCTGCCCAACATCGGTTAGCCGTTTTAGCCAAGCCAGTCGGTTGCCTTAACCTCGTCCGTTATTCAGCAGGGGTACCACGAGCAGGTGAGGTTGACAGTTGGGGCGATCAGATGGTACGTTTCGCCCCCTTATCCCCCTCTAACAGTAATACTATATGTAAGGTACTCACCATTAATGTTGATGCCTAGTTCTTTCCACTCCAGAAACTTGAAAATATGAATAGAATAGAATATAATTTTATTAACCCTCATATTACACATTACAGATACAAATAAAAAAAAAACCTCAGGGCTAACCAGGACCCTGCCTCAGCATTAGCTGATGCGACATTGTGTCGCACCAGCGCTGTTATTCTGGCAGGGCCTGTTTAGTGTCACAATAAAAAGACATGTAAAAATTTTTTTATTAATTGAAGGGATGAATGGACTTATCATCCTTTGCTTTCAAGCATTTTGCATATGCTTCAATACAGCTGTGAAGATTTTTGGAGATAAAACATCTTCCGTTCTCACGCCTCGCTGCAGTTGCGTAGAATGATTAGTGGTCTGGAAAACATAGGGGCACTTTTGTTTTAGGTAACTTCGACATACCTATAGTCTACTTGGCACCTTCGGGGAGACTGTAACACTGCCCAAGTCCCAATCGAATCGAAGGCTTTCTCATAGTCCGCGAACATCTAGTGGCAGATATTATACTCTTCGATATTCTGTATGACCTGTCGCAGAGCCTTTACGCTCAGCGCCAGCTTTGCTACATCTCCGCCTCCACTGTTCCACATTTCAAGATCTGAGATGGGTGCGCGCGTTCCATTTAACTTGCATGGCTTCTTTATGGTAGGAGAATGAAGCAAGTAAGCTTCTTTAACGTAATAATTTATTAAAGCGTGTTTTCATTCTTTTTATTATTGCATTCAAAGTGTCTTATGCTTAATAAATAATAAAAATAAATTTATTAAAAATACCCGAAAAACCCGGGTTTTGCAAATCAAACCCGGGTTTTTCTGTAATCCTAACTGTGAAAACCTGGAATTTTCCGGACCGGGTATATTCGGGTTTGATGCCCTAATCATGATGTCTGACCGCTATGCTAATGAGACCGTAGTGGACCTATGTTCTTCTAGTATTATCTTCAGGCTGCAAGATAACGCCTTCTAAACGAACGGACGCCACGAAAGATTCGAGTCGATGCTGAGTCGATTCTAGACCAAACTTGGGCCGAGTGAAATTTCAAGAAGTATTATATTTATTACATAAAAAAATCAAGTTGTTATAAAAATCTAAAATAAAATTTCTCGAACTTGACATGATAGGATCACAAATAAAGCCAAAATTATATTTAATTTTAGCCATAATTATGGCTTTATTTGTTCGTTATAAATAAAAAACTGTTTTTTTTCCAGGGCAGTATTATTATACCCTACCCTTTCGATGAAGTTGACCCTCCTATTGACATTGTAAGTAACTTTTTTTAAGCTGTTGTGCTTCTAATGCATTAAATATGATTTACTTTCAGAGTGTGTTCCTTATCAAAAGTCCATCCTTATTGAAAAAGAATACGTTATAATTTCATTTTATAAGTACTAGCCATTTTGTCATTTAATTGTTTCTTAATATAATTGAGCAAGATACCCTATGCGATATAAAAACAAAATTATGATCATAAATCTACCAACATCTAAGAACCTCAACGAGTATAAAAAACGAACCGCTGAATGTGGACGATTAATCTGTTAATTTGACAGAAAACAGTTCTTTTTCACATTATGTTTATTAAGGAAAGAACTGCCCAAGTGTGAGTCGGATTCGCAAACTAAGGATTCCTTAGCACTGTGTAATATTTGTAACTAGATCGAGCGTAGCAAATGGAAAAAATCAAGTTTTATATACACCGTGAATTTTGAGTTACCCGATAAACTGAAAAATCGTATAATTATAAGTAAGAACAGTTATAAGCAGTAAATGTGCTACACCCCATACAAAAATATTGATTTATGTCGTTTACACAACATTTACAACATACCCTAAACCGGTGCAAATTTCTATATAACATAATCTCATCATCAACATCAGCCTATTAATGTCCCCACTGCTTGGGCATAGGCCTTCCCTATGGATGGAATGGGGAGATTGGGCCATGATCCGCTACGCGGACACAGTATGGATTGGCGGGTGCTAACGACTGCAGATGCAGCCGGGACCAACGGCTTAACGTGCCTTCCTAAGCACAGAGGAATTCGACATAAAATATTTTTGGTCACCCATCCAATGACCGACCACTGCGAAAGTTGCTTCAACGATCGCAGCCGAAGGCGCAAGTACCCGCGCCATCGAGCCCCTTTAATAACATAATCTATGGAATTATTATCCGTTTAAAGTACGTAGGTCCTAAGTAATTACTTTTTTATATCAATCAATTTATGTCAATAAAAATGTTAAGATTTCATATTTCCACAATTACAGAGTTAACGTTGAGACATGTTTTGAAAAGAAATCTTTTTTGCGGTAATATAACCCAAATCGTGATTTGAAAATTTGCTAGTAGTATTGTTTCTCAGGTAACTTAAATTTACGGTGTACAGAACAAATTTTCATGATTTTTTTCGTCTGAAGAAAAATTTATGGAGGGATAAGGGAGAATGACTCCTCAAAACACTCGCCTTGGTGTAGTCGGTAGAATGCGCTTAATGATGCCACGTTGCGGCGTAATCGTAGAGGCTCGAGTTTGTTACTTATCTCCTCATCGCCAATGATGCGGGCAACCTATCCAAGGCATTGAGTAAGTACTTTGTGGAGCCATCCCAGAGTTACGAGCAATATTCCACGCAGGACCGTACTTGCATTTTGTATAACAAGCACAGTTGATTAGGTGTGAAAAAACGCCGCATCTTGTTCAGGACTCCCAGTTTGCGTGAAGCTGTTTTGATGACGATTTCAATGTAGTCCTTGGGATACAGGTCTGAGCGAAATTCCATACCGAGCATGGTGATGTTGCTCTGTAGCGCAAGTGTTGTGCCCTGAAGAGAGAGAAGGGTAAGGAATGATGATGTTTTAGCCGTGAAAGGCAAAACCTGGGTTTTCTTGGCATTGGCACTCAACCAAGTTCCTCGTACCCAATTCGGAAATGTGTTCAAAAGCCTAATTGAGTTCAGCGACAAGGTTCTCCAGTTTCTCCTTAGCTTCTACCTGTTCAACTGCTGCGTATCCAAAATATCTCGAATGCACTGTATTATCGTCTGTATAGCAATGAATATTCCTAAGAGGAATCAAATCATTGATATGCAGCAGAAAGAGTGTGGGGGATATAATGGAGCCCTGAGGAACACCGGCATTCAATGACATGAACTGCGAACTACATCCGTTCGTAGGGACGCGATTTCTACGCTCATGCAGGAAGTCAGCTACCCAGGCGTAGAACTGAGCATGCAGATCGTATGCAGGAAGCTTGGAGAGAAGGCTTTTGTGCCAGATACTGTTAAAAGCCTTGGCAATGTCAAGACTGATAGCCAGAAACTCTCAAAGCTTGTCTATAGCTTCACATCAAATATGTGTCACGTACGCTAGAAGGTCACCCGTCGATCGATTCGGCCTAAATCCGTATTGACGATCGTAAATCAGAGAGTAATCTTCTAGGTAGCGGTTCAGATAGTTGTTAAGGGTCCCTTCTAAGACTTTACACAACACTGAGCTATCGGCCGATAGTTGACCGAGTCTGAGCGGGCCCCTTTTTTGAGCACCGCTTGCACATTGGCATCCCTCCAAGTCTCCGGCACATGCTCCAAAGAGTACGAGAGTTGGTACAAGTGCGAAAGCACGGGAGACAACCCCGCTGCAGAATGTTTCAGCACAAATGCTGGGATGCCATTGGGTCCACTAGCTTTCCCGACGTCGAGTGATTGCAGCTCCGCACGAACATCACGCTGCCTGGTTTACTGGTGAGGGCTGGCGAAAGTTGTGCTGCACGGCCTTAGCCAATCGCCAAAAACTACGGAAGCCCGTAGCGCGCGTTAACAATTCGTGGCCAGTACGTGCAACACGTTGGGCATCCGCTCTGATGTAAGCCTTCTTACAAGACTTGGAAGCACTATTAAAGGCATGTTTCAGGGAGTCAACCCCGAGATCTTTAAGAGAGTGGCCTCTGATCCAAGCGCGATATGCTGCCTGCTCACGTGAAACAGCATCCGCAAAGTCGCGATTGAACCAGCAATTACGTGTGCCCTTACTGAGGAGATCAGAATGTGGAATATAATATTCCATTCCCATTAAGATCTCCTCAGTAATAGCTACGGTCCTTTTCATTGAAGCAGCGCTGCTTCCAAGGGACGGACGCAAAGTAGTCGCGCATACTATCCCAATCTACCTACCCATAGTGCCAGACCCAGGCCCAAACTTCTCGACTATTGGTGGTCAAATACCAGTGGTCGAGGAGTTTGGGCCTGTGGCACTTTGGCAGATATCAGACATGTCTGATGAACCCAGTGGGGCTCGAACCATAACCTAATACTCCTGCGGATGAGTCTTATACAGAAGGTCTAGTAAGGAAGGCGCTTGACTTGCTATATCTGGGATCTAGGTGGGCTGATCAACCAGTTGTGTTAAGTCATACGTGAGAGCGAATGCATGAACAGAGATTTCTGCATGATCAGGTTTGGAGGAGCCCAATCACAAACCGTGGTGGGCGTTTAAGTCCCCCAAAAACACCAGTTCTGCATTGGGAAATTGCGCTTGGGCATCATCTGCTGCCCGACTAAAATGGTCAAAGAGTTGAGTTGTCTCAGCATCGACGGTATGAGATCTGTAGAGGCATACGTAGACTCTGGCCAAAGGACCATAGTCTACATGTACCGCCAACATGGAGAAGGAGGGGTCTTCCAAGCAGCTCAAACGGCGACAAGAAATATCCGCCGGAACATACAGGCATACGCCGGCTTCCGCTTTGAAGGATTCTTCAAGCACGCAGCCGGGATAGTTAAGGTAGCCTATGTCAGCGGGCGAAAGTATTTGAATCTCAGTTAGAAACAATAATGCTGCCCGTGCTGTGTCAAGATGGTTATGGACAGCATTGAGGTTAGAGTGGAGTCCGCGTATATTGCAGAACTCGACCTCAAACAGCGCGAAAGGCGTGGGGTGTGCAACGCTGTACAAACAAACTTTGTTTTACAGGCTGCCACCATGGGGACAAATTAAGAGACTTTATGTCTCGTCTCCAGTGGAGTTAGTCGCGACAAAGTCAGACAAATATGTGGAGGCACGTTTTCCCGAGTAACAGCCCCCTCCCTCGACAGCTATTTAGGATATTTTAATATATTTCAGAACGACCCTACACTACAAATTCGTAATCGAAACACAACACCCCGGGATCTTGATGAAACCACCACAGAAAAAGTGAGTTATTCACAAGGATTTTTTTTATACACGAATGGTACATTGCCAAAAGCAGAGTCAACTGCAATCTTTGCAATTCGTCGATGGCTTTCGTCAACGCATCGACTCATTACAATTCAGCGATGATACCTCATCAATTATTAAAGTCAAACTTTTACTACATCGTCTTAATTTTTCTTGTCCATCTATCGCATGTCGCGGAGTAGATTTACTAATTTATTGAAAATTTTCACCTTATCACCAAGTGTCGGTGGTTCAGGGGTAGAATAATCGTCTGCCAGGCGGTCCACCTGGGTTCCTGGCCGATGCAGGTTTCTTATTATCAGTCCACCCTGACTGCTTCAAGCTCTTCGTGTATGGCCGCTCTAATTGTATCACAATGAGACGCCATATTGTTTTAAACTTTAATGGTTACTAACATGACAGTATTTTTTGTTATTAGCGGGATTGGTCACTTCATGATCATGGACCTTGCAACAGTGCTGAAATATCGCAAAAACAAGGAACATAATAGCAATCTCGCTAATAACGAAAATACTAAAATAAATAAATAATTCTACCACACCAATTTGCCTACCCTAAAAGTAAGCACTGTAAAGCATGTATTATGGGATACTAGAGTAACGGATAGAATACATATACTGATGATTATATAAGTATATTTTTATTTATAAATACCTACGTATTACTTAGATACAAAACTCGTATTCATCACATAAACATTTGCCTCACCGGGATGCAAATCCGGAGGTCGTCAAAATGGGATACCAGTTTTAGAATCTGTTTTTAACAGGATGAAAGCGACGATGATGATCTACCACGATCTTGTTACTACGGCGGGCCGAAGTTTCCGTACCCTGAGCCTACGATTGACAGGACTGGTCGAAGACTTGCAGACATAAGTATGTGGCAATACTGTTTAAATCATAATGTACCTAGTCTTACTTTTTGTAGGCAAAATCTATAATATACTTATTGTAAACGCGAAAGTGGTTCTGTCTCTTAATTAATTCTTCATGCTTTAACCGTAGAACAAAATTAGATGAAATAAGATATGAAGGTTGTTAAGGTCCAGGGCATAGGACAGTTTCATTTACCTTCAAATGGGTGAAAACGGGGTGGAAGTTTGTATTGGAAACCAAAACAACTAGTTGATCACTTCATAATTAAGAAAAGAGTAGTACAGGGATTTATCGCGCTTGAATATAAGCGTTTGTCTGATGTTAAAAGAGAATGGAATCCAGGTATGACCTTAAAAGCAGCATTTTAAGGTCATACCTGGATTATCTACTGTTTTTAATGATTTACTGGCGAACGCTTCAATTTAAAGGAAAAAAACACAGAGCTTTACCCCTCTTAAAATTTCTTAAAGAAGGTATTTCATGTTATTTTATCTACACCCATGCACCTCTATTAAAGATTCTGAAGCAGTAATCTTATTTTTAAAATTAAAGCATGTAATGTCTTATAAAAAAAAAATAAAAAAATCATATCATCCAAACGGGTGTCATAATGTTGTACTATATTTCATTCTCCTTCGATTTTTCGATCCTCTCTGTGCAAAGGGTTTACTCGTCAGGGAGCATGGTTCAGACGTCCGCTCCGCGCTCCCGCTAAATGCAGCGCAGGCTCTTACGCCTAGATGTGTGTTATCCGTATGAATTTCAAAAAAGGACATTGTAATTTACGCGCGTTTCAGCACTTTTTAAAGAGGACTCATAACAGGGGTGTAGATAAAGTCTTGTCATGTAAGTGTTTATAAATAGATACCTATTAAAACACTCATATGATACTCTTTAATACCTCCCATTATACTATAAATGCATAAATAACTATTTTGGATCTAATAAGGTATAATAATTAATGCATTTTTGTTTGTATAGAATGCGAGGAGCAAATGTGGCAGATAAAGTACAGAATTCATGATGCTAAAATACACAAAGACATATGTAAGTAGAGAACAAAAACTGTTTTAATAAAGTTAAATTCACGAACACAGAACTACCAAAGTATAACAAAATTTACCATACGTTAAGTTAAACTATAACTTACCTGTTTAACATAAACCCTCTTATTAGTAAAACTCAAACTCAAAAATAATTTATTCAGTCTAGGCTGTTACAAGCACTTTTGTAGGTCAAGAAGCTACACCATAGGTTCGCAAAACTACTGCGGCAGACCTTGTACTGAAAAAAAACCAGCAAGAAACTCAGCAAGGGGATTTTTTTTAAACCTATATTATTACTCGTATAAACAAAGTCGTCAAGTTCAAAAATTAGTTCAGAGAAACTTTTGCAGTCACCGTCCATTACATCATTTAGAATATGGATACACAGATACAGTTACACTAAATTTTATAGTTAACTTTATATTTTTAAGTATATAGGAAGCGGCATTTGATACCACATTACTGTTATGAAAAATTACTAATACCCATTAAATTACAAATTACAAGATAAACTATGTCTGTGCATTACGATCATTTAGATAATCATCAACTTTATAATAGCCCTTATTCATAATAGTACTCTTGATCTGAGATTTAAATTTGGTCAGTGGAAGCTCAATCAGATCTTGGGGAACTTTATTAAACAGTGCAAGAAATAGACCCCTTGATTTTTAGAGTCTGAAACATAGAACGGCAAGCTTGTTCTTAAATTTCATGTTAAAGTTATGGGTTTGACTTTTTTTGCAAGTACGTCATAGTTTTTTCTTACATATATTATACCTTCGTTAATGTATTGCGACGCCAGTGTTAATTTTTAATCTAAGGGATTCTCTTGCCTTTCAGTTGAATATGGCGCGAACATTTGTCTTTTGCAGTATGAAAATACTATCGATATTTATAGCTGGCCCGACAATAAAAAGCCATACGACATAACGCTATGAATGTGATTAAAGTAAACCAAATTTGCCGTTTCCATATCAGTTGTCTTATTTTTATAACAGCAAAAGCTGCAGAGCTCAGTGTACTTGATAAGGCTAAATATGAGGATCCCATTGCAAATGCCAGTCTAAAGTAATACCCAGAAACTTTGTAGAATGCACTAACTCTACAGGCTGATCATTTATTTCTATAGTAGTACTAACCTGCCTCACATTAATTAGAGTAAACTTAACACATTTTGTTTTACCGGAGTTTAGTTTTTTATTATTTACCGACAACTAATGAAAGACTTTAGAGAGAGCACAGTTTACTTCGTCATAACAAAATATTTCCTCTTATATCTTTATAAACACTAAAGAGGTATCATCATCAAATGGTACTGTTTTGCACAAATCTCTTGTAAAGTGGAGAAGGTCATTGATCTAAATATTGAAAAGCAAAGGGCTCAAAATTTAACCCTGGGGCACGTCCATAGAAATGGGTGCCCCTGTAGACTCAGCTTCAATTATGACTAAGTGAAGTATTTGATATACCATAATGCTTTATTTTATTTTTAACGATGTTTCATGACTAAAGCAGTCAAATGCCTTTGATAAGTCGCAAAAAATGACAATAGCATCGTACTTATTTTCCCATACATATACATCAAAAATGTGTTTGAGAAGTGCAGTTCGATCATCAGTAGTACTTTTTCCTCTAATGAAACTAACCTGTTTTAAAGAAGAATGAAGCTTGGATTAGTTACTTTATCTTTTGTCAAACAACAAATGGCATTTGAGTGATATGAAAAAGCTCGGCGTAACTAGTTCAAGCTTATTTCTAGTTTATTAATAAGGGGGTTAGAGTCCTGACTTGTATTAAAAAAAACTATACGTATTGGGTTTGAGAAAATTATGAAAAAAATTGACGCGTTTCTTTGACCATTGCCCTTGTCCAAACGATTTCTTTTTGTACTGAATCAACTACCAATATTTTCCAAAAAAATAATCCGATGATCTTTCTACTTACATTTTTTTAGGTTTAAAAGATATGGCCGAATCAGGCGTTTTTGGTGGTACAAAAAGCGAGATAGGAGCTTTTCCTCATATGGTAAGTATAATAATGAAACAGTTTTAAAAGTGTGAACTTTTTAAGAGAGGTAGGGCCCAGCGCATCTTTCGCTCGAATTGGACCGTCCGTCCCCGTACCAACTTTCACCTTACAGAAGACCACAGTAAAGTACACTATCTTTTGGGTGTGTTGTGTTTCGGATTGGGTGAGTAGGATTCCATTGGTAGGGTACAGGGTTCAGACTGGTAAGGTAAGGATGGCTGGAGCGACACACCTTTTGCCGCATCATCTGTTTTCGCGACTGAACTCCACTTATCGCTTGATTACACTTGGTCGCATTGAGGAGCTCGATGGCGCAGGTGGTTTGCGCGTTCGGCTGCGATCGTTGTAATTAAGCAACTTTCGCAGTGGTCGGTCATTGGATGGGTGACCAAAATTTCTATCTCGAGTTCCTCCGTGCTTCGGAAAGCACGTTAAGCCGTTGATCCCGGTTGCATCTGCAGTCGTTAGCACCCGCCAATCCGCACTGGGCCCGCGTTGTGGGTCATGGCCCAATCTCCCTTTTCCATCCATAGGGAAGGCCTGTGCCGTGGGGACATTAAGAGGCTGATGATGATGATGATGACACTTGGTCGTTAGACCGCATTCGGGTTCACGAACGACGTTATAAGGAATACATACTGGACGATGGTGTCGGGTAACCAAAACAAAAACTACCCGAGTACTCGACTCCGTTAACCCGACTTCCATTGGCACTCGTATGCGGGCTAACGACCAAATGTAATTGCAACTTTAGATTTAAAATCAGCTTGACTGGGGTTATTTGTTTCACTTCGTATATATAAAAAAAAAACTTAACGAATTGAACTATTTTCGGGTACAACACAACGTTGACGTCACAGATTTTATTATAATACAAGTCAATGAGGTGATTTTATGTACACCAAATTAGAAAACCTTCAAGTTTACCCTAATGATAGTATATATTTGTATTTCACAAACATTTAGTTAATATTTATCTGTCAAAAAAATCACATATCAACGGCATCGAAAACTCAACATAAATGTGTCAACAAATCACTTTGCTAAATTCATCGTTGTCAAACCAATTTCTACTTTAAGCAATTTCTCGAGATTTCGACATATTTATCATAACGTCTCATTCGATTATTGTATCGAGTGAAAAGGGATATATGAGATGAGTGTGTAATCAAATTTTTTTCATTACAAATTGATAACGGTACGTAACTTCCGTAGTCAAATTAATGTTTCAAAACGACTAGAAACGAACTCGAAAATGCCAAAATAAACAAATTTTTATCACCAACTAGCTGACCCGGCGTACTTTAACTTTCGTAACTTTTAGCTTCATTTAATTTAGCTTTGTAAAAGAAAATTAAATTAAAAAATAAAAACGTTAAATAGTTTAGTGAGATAATAATATTAAAGAAAATTAAATTATTATAATACACTCGAGAGCAATGAATCCGCGTGATTTAAAGAATCCTAAAAATCTCGCAAACTAATATTATTAGCTTATTGAAATAAATTCTTATTAAAACACAATCAAATACTCTTTAAATGAGGCTATTAAAACTTCTTAGTTATTGTAAAGTTATATCACAAAAATCAAATTTGAAAAAGGAGACTTTCAAATAAGGAACTACGAAATTACCGCATTTATTTTTCTTTTGTTTCTAATCTGTCATTTATCATTCATATAAACCATGTCGATAGTGTTCATTATTAATTATTCAAGCTGTAATTCAAAATAACATATCAAAATTCCTAATTGTTCCGGTACATAGAAAAAAAAGTCGAGGTCAAAGGTAAACAAAAAATATTTTCACTTTTTTCATCAAAACGGAATGTTTTATCGTAAAATCATTATCTCATATAAATATTGCAGATCATAAAATTATCTATAAAAAAATGTGTGTTAATATCTTCTTTCCTAAAAGCCATCGTTGCTGAGATATAACGATTGTAAAAATATGCATAAATACGTCACTTAGATACATCTCTGTAGCTGAAATATTAGTTAAAATATTTTTCTATCGGTGATTGTAAAATATTTCTTTGTCGCCCGCTCACGTATTCCCTCACTCTTAATAACCTGGGATCCTTTAAACGAGGCGTGGAGAAGCAACATGCCGGCAGGGTGAGGATAGCTGGCGTGGTAGGAAGAACTGCTGTATCAGCTGTCTTCGCGTCTGGACTTCACCGTCACTTAACATCAGGTGGGGTGGAGTCATTTGTCGAACCTATCTATAAAAAAACCATTAAATTAAACATAGGTATTACTACGAGAATAATGTACTGAAGCATTAAAAAAAATACTTCTCTCTCCTCCAAAAGCATCGATATGCATGTTTTATTAAAAACATTCGAAATTAAAAACAACTACAATTGAGGAGTGACTCTTTAAAAAGAATGCTTCATTCTTTTCAGAAAGAAAAATTTTCAAAAACTGAAAATTTCTGTGGCGATTACTAACTTCAGTTAAGTATTGTTTGGTATAACTGAATTTATATAGTGGAAGAAAAAGAAATTCTAAGTGACCTTGATTAAAAAAAAATATTGGAAATATGGCCTTTTGATTGAAGCTTTTGAAAACAAGCCCTTTTGTATGGACGTCGATAGGAAATATGTCTTTCTGTTTATCACTGATTTGTAAAAGAGGCCTTTTGAAAACATCGTAATTTGGGAGAAATAAATAATAATATGATATAAGAAATGTAGTTTCATCATCATCATCATCATCAAGAGCCTATCTGAGTCCACTGCTGGACATAGGCCTCTCCAAATGCACGCCATTCATGTAGTTTATTTAATCAAAAATTAAATTTTAAGCGCTAGGAAACATTATTCTTCTCACACTGTTTTATACCATACTCATCAGATTCTGTATTATTATAACATCGTCTATAATATTTTAATACCAGATGAAATCAGGGTTAGTTTTCTATTCTTCTCCAAACTGATTCTTCAAAGTCGATAGTTAGCGAGAAAGAAAGAAATCTTGCTTGACTTTGGTTTTGTTACCATAAAATATCCTTCGATTTTTCAGTACAACATCAACATTCAGGGAATTACAGCGCAATTTTGTGGTCTCATTTTTATGCATGCAACGTTTTTGAAAATTTATCCCCAACGGATCCACGTCTTCATATCCAAAAATAAATAAAAAAATATTCATTAGTAAAATACAATACCATCATACACACAGTTATCCTAAGAAAATACATACGAAATCTCAGATTAAAGCAACATGTTGCAATTTTAGGTTCTCACTTCTTTTTGTATCTCACCTTGTTATTGTTTCTGTGTCGTTTCTACATTTTCTGCCAACGCTGAATGGAAACTATAATTCCAGTTAAAGCTATAAAATAAACTTTTTTAATCTTATCTATGGTCATAATAATAGCATGAAACTTTATCGTAGTAACAGGCTTTAGTCCGAATTCTCTAAAGATTAGGCCATGTTTTTATAGCCATAAAATTTATGCAGGAAATGTGGCTAGAAAAGAAGTCTTCCTGTATCGTTCTATTGATGTAAATAGGTTCTATTTAGCCTTGCGAACATGATTTCGTCTAAATTTGTTCACTAATTAAAAATGGAAATATGGCCTTTTGAAAAGTCACTCCTCAGTTAGCAACCTGAGTTGCTGCTCTTCAACATTTTTTTCGGATATGTATAGGTATATTTGGAATTTCAAGTGTGGCTCTCAGCTAGACCCAAAAAAACTAGGGTTGGAATTGGGTCGAAATACATTCAAACCAATTCAGAATATTTATCCTACCTGCGCCGGAACGGCTGCTAAACACAATTTTTTGGAACTGTAAAAAGGGATGCAGTACTAAATTTGGTTGCAAAAGAGTTGGACTATTTTGTTCTCTGACATGTACGAATTTTCAAGGCCATTCATGTTATAATGTAGAATCACCAATAGTAGAGGGTTCGTTTGCTTCCAACGAAGAGACATGTGATATTTCGCTACTGACGCAATTCGCTTACGCTCAGGATGTAGAAGAAGAAGATCAAGAAGAAAAAACAACTTGAAGAAGTATTTATTTCTTAGGTTTTCACGCACAACACTCATTAAATAAAACAAGTTTCAAGAGTATAGATGCACTGATTCAAGTGACTTTTTGAAGAAGTAATTGAAGATTATGAATCGGACGAATAACATTTTCCACTGTTTTTTAATTTCCATTGCTTTTATCAATTCCATCCCTTACTTATATGTATTTGTTAATTTATTATGCAATAGTTTTCAATTATACAGAATCACAACAGACCTGTGGAATAGGCCTAGCGGGGCTAGCAGCTAGCTAGCCTAGCAGCTATGTTAAAAAAACGCGCTAAGTATACTACCTCAGAGGTGGCATGGCAACGTGTGAATATCTCATATCTCAGGAACGGAGGTTCTTAGGAAAAAGAATATTAATAGCTTTTGTTTTTAGATAATTTTATGATCTACATTTTATTTCTAAGGTAATTTTACGATAAAACTTACCGTTTTGATGAAAACAGTGAAAAGCCAATTTTTTTGACCTTTGACCTCGAGTATTTTTTTTTTCATGTACTGAAACGATGGGAAATTTTGATATGTTATTTTTAAATTATGTTTTGAACAACTGTACTCAGTTTTAGCTTGATGGGAATTTGTGCACCTTCATTCTTATTTTTCTGTCTAATTTGACCCGACTATTTACAGAAAACCGAAATCGTAGAGGCCTAGTATATCTACTTATGACTATGGGTAAAATTTCTTTTACATATATCATATTTTCGAGGACGAAATTGTCGAGAGCCAAACTCGAATTTTGCAATTTTTATTCGCAATTTTCAGCGTTAGCTACTATTGTTCCTATTTGCCAATGCAAGGTATTTGCCAATGCGCGACAGCAATAGTTTTTTCAAATAGGTACCTCAAATGTCTCTCAACTCCCGTACGCTCTTGTTTTAATAACTCAAGATAATGAAAGTAGAGTTTAATTTATCATCTTCTCAAACATCTTAAACTATTATTATTATTAAATGTGCAGTTTTTGTACAATGTCATCAGTAATTATTTTATTATATTAACAAAGTCATAGGATTGAAAGGGTAATTGGTAAATGAATATAATAGTTTTAAACTTTCATGGTCACTAACATTATAGCTATTAACGGGATTGTTACCATGTACCTTGTTTTTTATGAGTCTCCGATATTTCGGCACTGTTGCAAGCGCCATGATCACGGAGTAACTGAAGTAATTGTGGGTAGATGTTATTGGCAGACATGTCGGTCTACCCTCTGACGTCGTCTTTTACTGCGCTCGATACCCCTACCATTGGTCACATTCTCACTATTCACTCGCACCTGTTCCCGACACCCAATACTTGACACTTTCTTGATTTTTACGGTTTTTGCACATACGAACCACTGGATTCCAGACACTTGACAATTTAAATATCAGTATTGTCACACAGAAATAACTTTTCTTTTAGAATGCTGGCCACAAAAAAGTTTATTGAATTCAAATATCGGAGACTCATAAAAAACAAGGTACATGGTAACAATCCCGTTAATAGCTATAATGAATATAATGGTAAAACGTCTTCGAAATGTATATAAAATAAAAATGTATATAATATAAATAAGACCGAAAACCGGTATTTAATAAAAATATATCGGGTTTTTGATATCCACTTTTTACACCGATATTTCCAGTTTTTCGGTATTACCGTAAACCGGTATCAATACTCTACACGTAAGATTATCATACTAATATTATAAAGGCGAAAGTTTGTGAGTGTGTATGTTTGTTACTTCTTCACGTCTAAACGTTAGCTGACACCCTGAATTAACACGTAGGCTACGTTTTACTGCGGGAAAATATCCCTAATAAACCGCGGGTAACACGCCGGGGCACTGCTAGTCATATAACACTCCTTAAACTGACTTTACAGACAGTCATTTTTTTATATTTAATTTACTGATGCAGAATATGTTCGAGGTTAATCTTTGAATGAATGTTATTTTGTTTACAGGGTGCTATAGGCTGGTTTACAGCAACCAAGAGACCGCTGTTTTTCTGTGGAACCTCTTTGATCACACCCATGTATTCCATAACTGCTGCTCACTGCAGCTTTTTAGCTTTTCGTGGTGATTATGGAGTTGAAGATCCAAATCCGAAAATTGTGCGATTTGGCATTGTGGACCTGGTATGTCTGTTAATTATTATTTGTATGAAGTTTTGTTTTCATTCATCATCATCATCATTAGCCTAATAGTCTAAATTAGGTTTCCACTGCCGGCCTTCCCTATGAATGCAGTAAGGAGATTGACCAGTGATCCAACATGCGGGCCCAGTGTGGGTTGGTACATGCTAATGACTGCAGATGCACTTGGACCAACGGCTTAAAGTGCTCTCCAAAGCAAGGAGCTCCAAATAATAAGCTTCTGGCCACCCATCCAATGACCGACCATAGGTAATAGTTGCTTAGCTTCCGCGATAGCAGGCCGAACGCGCTTACCATCTGCGCCGAGCTCCTCATTATCATTTTCAGTCCACAATTCAGTATATTATGGCATTGATAAGATGCCTTTTATTCATAATAACCCATCCTACAAACCCTGCCCAAAAGAATTGGTCAGTAATAATTGTCAATATAGCTTTAACTGGAATTATAGTATCCTTCGTTAGCTTAGCTTCAACTCTGCAAATGGGAACCAAAGAAACTTCAAATATGTGTCTAAATTTTTTAAATCTATCTAATCTGTATCTTTTTCCTAATGAGGGAAGGTCTTCGTAATTGTATGAATGCATAGCAACGCATTCAATTCAGTGATGTCGCATGACACAATATGTATATACGCAGTCAGGTCATAAGTATTGTCACACAGAAATAACTTTTCTTTTAGAATGCTGGCCACAAAAAAGTTTATTGAATTCAAATTTCGAATTGTTCATGAAAATTAAAATATATACTTTTTAGAATTTTACTCATTTTTAAATATGGAGTGGACGCTTAAAGAAGACCGTGTTGCAGTTATTGCGTTGCATCGTTGCGGTAACGCGCCAATTATTTTTTAATATACTGAAAAATTTTAATATAACCAAAAGATTTGTTTATCGTATCATAAAACGATACAATGAAGACTCTAGTGTAGATGACAGGTCAAGAAGTGGTCGCCCTCGGTCTATTAGGACTCCTGCAGTTATAACAGCTGTGAAGGCGCGAATTCAAAGAAATCCCAAACGTAAGCAGAACTGTTGGCCCTTCAGATAGGGTTAAGCAGAATCACGGTGAAAAGGGTGTTAAATGAAGACTTAGGGCTTCAGGCATATCGAAGAAAAACAGGACATTGTTTGAATGCTCGTCTAATGGATCTGAGACTGAAGAGATGTCGCGCTTTGTTGTAGCGGTAAGCGGGAAAAAATATCGGGAAATTATTTTTTCGGATAAAAAAAATTTACCGTACAAGAGAGCTATAACAAACAAAATGATAAGGTGCACACAGTAGTGAAGAAGCGAGCAACCGTATTCCGTGTGTCCAGCGAGGTCATTTTCCATCCTCGCTCATGGTATGGTTGGGAATTTCTTATTGGGGCTTAACAGAGGTACATTTTTGTGAGAAAGGTGTAAAAACGAATGCAGTTGTGTATCAAAATACAGTCCTGACGAACCTTGTGGAACCTGTTTCTCATACCGTGTTCAATAACAGGCACTGGGTATTCCAACAAGATTCGGCGCCAGCTCATAGAGCGAAGAGCACACAAAACTGGCTGGCGGCGCGTGAAATCGACTTCATCCGGCACGAAGACTGGCCCTCCTCCTCGAGTCCAGATTTGAGTCCGTTACATTACAAGATATGGCAACACTTGGAGGAAAAGGCGTGCTCAAAGCCTCATCCCAATTTGGAGTCACTCAAGACATCCTTGATTAAGGCAGCCACAGATATTGACATGGACCTCGTTCGTGCTGCGATAGACGACTGGCCGCGCAGATTGAAGGGTTGTTTTCAAAATCACGGAGGTCATTTTGAATAAACTTTATTGTCATAAGAATCTATGCTTTGTTAAGTTCATTTTGGTGTATAAATGGTTACATAATGAATAAACTTGTTTTAATTATTTTATATTAAACATGTGACAGAATTTATGACCTGACTATGTATATATATATATATATATATATATATATATATATGAATATACAGGGTGTATATTTATACAGGTGACATATATCTAATATATAAAATTCTCGTGTCGCGGTGTTTGTGGTTAAACTCCTCCGAAACGGCTCGACCGATTTTCGTGAAATTTTATATGCATATTCAGTAGGTCTGAGAATCGGATGTAATCTATTATTCATCCCCCTAAATGTTAAGGGTAATCCACACATAATTTTTTTTTTCAATTTTAGTTAAAAAAAATTGTATTTTTTTTATGATACAGCATTAGTAAATACATATAATCCTGAATTTTCAACCCTTTACAATCAACCCCTATTTTACTGTCGCGATGTTTGTGGTTAAACTCCTCCGAAACGGCTTTCCCGATTCTCATGAAATTTTGTGTGCATATTGGGTAGGTCTGAGAATCGGACAACATCTATTTTTCATCCCCCTAAATGTTAAGGGTAATCCACCCCTATTTTTTTTTAATTTTAGATTTTTTTTTTATATTTTTATGATACAGCATTAGTAAATACATATTACTCTGAATTTTCAACCCTTTACAATCAACCCCTATTTTACCATCGCGATTTTTATTTTTAATAATTTCTTTTTCTCAATTCAATTTGATCTTCCGCCCTCACCGGTCGATAACCGATCAACGATCAATCGAGTAGTTATCCCCGCTAGATGGCTACCTGGGTCACCTTTCATCCAGCAAACATCACGGAGTAGGGATGAGAAGGAAGCCGGTCTCCTGTCTTCCTCAATATACAGTTTTCGGTCATGTCACAGTGTTAGTTACCATACTCCTCCGAAACGGCCTGACCGATTTTTATGAAATTTTATATGCATATTCCGTGGGTCTGAGAATCGGCTACTATCTATTTTTCATATCCTTAAGTGATAATGGTTGTCCACCTGAAACGTAGTGTTCTGAAACCTACAATGCGCCTTCGCGCCAAAATTCAAACTATTGGGTATTGTAACGTAGTGTTCTCATATAGGTTAGGAGGAATGTTATCCCAGGAAATTGATAGAACACTACGTTACACACCCCTAAATTTGTTTGTGGACAATATTTTATTTTTTATAATGTGTTATTAAAAATACATACAACCCTAAATTTTCTCTTTTAACACCTGCCCCTATTTTTATGGCGATACGAAGTTCGCTGGGTCAGCTAGTATATATATGTGATTATTTAGATGGTACAACTTCACTTACATATAAAATCATTGATTTAATTTGTATTGATTAAATTAATGATTTTATGTTACAATATGCACGTGGGAACAAACTACTACATGGTAATGGGTGAAACACGTAGCGAGAAGAACCGATAGCCGTTGGGGCGAAAAGGTTCTTGAATGGCGACCGAGCACCGACGACGCTCAGTGGGCACACATATTGGTGGGGGCCAGGTGGAATGACAATATTGTGAAGATCCTTGGGGGAGGCCTATGCTCAGTAGTAGGCTTTGTACTGTTGATATGATGAACTTTGGTCGTGCATGCATTTTGTTAATTTGTTTATCACAAATTAACAAAATGCATGCACGACCAAACTTCTTGAAACCTAGAAAAAAATATTTGATTTTACAGTATGACGTCACCTCGATTCAAAGAAACATAAAAGAAATTCTAACACCAAAAGAGTTTACCCCTCCAATCAAGTATAACGACATAGCACTCATATGGTTCAATGAGAAAATAGAGTTTTCAAAGTATATCCAACCGGCTTGTCTTTGGCATACATCTATGGATGAATTAAAAATAGCAAATGTTACGGGCTGGGGTCAAACAGAATCAGGTATTCCATTCATTTAAGTAACAAACATTAATTAAAATTTTATATTACCTATATAAAATTTTAATTAATATTAATAAGTTTAAATTTACTTAATTATAACAAAATATAGCTTTAAGCTATCTTCCAAGTCTCATTTTATCTCTGTACCATTCATCGCAACCCAGCGGTTTAGGCGTAAAAATAAAACTTACTTAAAATATCACTTCGGGATTTATTTTATAAATTAAGTTAGGATTACAATAGTAATTATTTTGGATATGGTAATAAAAACTTAATAAAGATCCAATAAATAAATACTTAATTATCACGAATTTTGCTAGTGAATAATAGAAACCTGCAATTTTTGATACAAAAAAAAAACTTTAATTTCAGCTTCATCTTCGTCGACCATGAAGTATGCAGAAGTAGATTTATTTGGTGACAGTATGTGTAATGAAACATTGGCAGGTCGTACAGGCAGAAATTTAAAAAAGGGTCTCATACATAGTCAGTTCTGCGCTGGGAAAATAGCCGGTGGAGTAGATACATGTCAGGTAATTGATGTTTTCTATTTAATTATTGTGGCAGAGAAAAATAAAGAGAGAACGAAAGAGTAAGAAAGGAGATTAGGATGGTTGGATGCGATTAGAGAGGACATTTAATTTTCAATAGAACAATAGAACGAAAGTTCGAAGAAAACGTAATGGATTATGTGCGTGCACATAGATTTACTAAAGTACATCATCAATCTATTACAACCACCTCAATATAAAAGGTATCTTTCTGTTTCTTTTTCCACATTTGTTTCCTCATAGCCACATATCCGATTGTTGTCAGCATGATAACCACAGAACGAGGTTCTGTGTGATACCTGTAGTCCACAAATCGGTCGAATATATCCAGTCTCAGTGACTATTAATACTTGCGTGACTTTGGGTTTAGAATAGATTTTAACCATTTAGGATGTATTAATATTATGTTAATCTTAAGCTTTAATTTCTAGCAGTAAAATTACATTGCCATGTCGTCTTTCTACTCGTTGTAGTTTTTTGCAATATGTTCAAATATGAGAAGAAATTTTATAATAATAATAATAATAGCATGGGCGGGACGTATTCGGCGCTATAGAGAAAGGGTAGACCGATTCCGAATAAATCGTCTCTTTCAAAGTGACCAAAGGAAGGTGTACCGAAAATGGGAGGAAATCAATCAAAGTGTGACTAACGAGCCACTGCCGGATACTACTGCTATGACCAACTTCTGGCGTAGTATCTGGTCAGTGCCTGTTGAGCACACCGAGAGTGATTGGATTGATGTTGTTGAGCGCGAGTGTGAGTCGATAGAGCCGATGAAGCCTATAAGCATAAACCCGGAGGATGTAAGTTGTGCAGTCCGTACGTCTCATAACTGGAATAGTCCTGGGTCGGACGGACTGCACAACTTCTGGATAAAATGGTTTCGAAGCTTACACAAGTGCTTAGCAATGCAATTCCAATACGCTCTCGAGAGTGGTTCCCTGCCAATTTTCCTAACAACAGGTACCACCTTCCTTCTCTATAAATCTGGTAGTACCACGGACGCAAAAAATTATAGACCCATAACTTGTTTGCCAACATTATACAAGCTCCTTACATCCATTTTGAGAGCTGAAATTAATAAGCATATTAATGCCAATAACATAATCTCAGCATCTCAAAATGGATGTACGGTTGGGTCCCGTGGTACTAAAGAACTCCTCCTCATTGACATGACCATTTGCCAACATATCCGACGGAGCAAGGGAGCCCTTTCTGCAACCTGGATTGACTATAAAAAAGCCTATGATTCGGTGCCTCACTCATGGCTGAGAAGGATCCTAGAGTTGTATAAAATCGACTTTAAGATCCTTTTTGGGTACATGTATGAGACAGTGGACCACAGTCCTTCGTCAGCCAGACCGTAGAGATGACCCCTCGGATCCGTCGCATGGTATAAGGATAGAGCGAGGCATCTTCCAGGGTGACAGTCTGAGCCCGTTGTGGTTTTGCTTGGCCCTAAATCCTCTTAGCACTTTGCTAAGGGAAACAGGGCTAGGCTGTCGTCTCCGGAGAGGTGGGGAGGTCATTTCTCACTTACTTTACATGGATGACCTAAATTTATTTACACCAAACAACCAGACTTGATTAAACTACTAAAAATTACAGAAGTTTTCAGTAGTTCTATCGGGATGGAGTTTGGTGTCGATAAGTGCGCGGTTATGCATGTACAGCGAGGGAAAGTTGTAAATTCCACAAATTTACAACTTTCTGAGACAATCACTCTTAAATCTCTCTCGGAGACGGAAACCTACAAGTATCTTGGTATGTCACAGTCTTTGGGTATTACGGATGGGGACGTAAAACAGGCATTGAAGGAGCGTTTCTTTTGGAGACTGACAAAAGTACTGAATTGTCTTTTGTCGGGAGCCAATAAGGTGCGCGCCTTCAATGCCTGGGTGATGAGGGGCATCATTCACATACTCCTTTGGCATACTGAGATGGACTCAGACTGAGTTAGACACTCTGGATAGGAAGGTCCGTCAACTGCTCACAATGCACCGTATGCTTCATCCGCGCTCATCTGTTATGAGACTGTATATCCCACGTAAGTGTGGAGGTCGTGGCTTATTAAATGCCAAGAATCTCCACAACCGAGAGGTGTGCAGTCTCAGGGATTACTTCCTTAACAGTGAGGGTGGGTTGCATCGTGATATTGTAGCAGTTGACAAAAACCTAACGCCGCTCTCCTTGGCGAAAGAGAACTGGCGCAAGCCGAGGGAGCCAAGCACCCAGGATCGCAAGGAAGTATGGAAAAGCAAGGAGCTCCACGGGCGGTTTTATCGGGCTCTAACAGGGCCTGATGTGGACCAGCTCGCCTCCGTGAACTGGCTACGATTCGGTGATCTCTTTGGGGAAACCGAAGGGTTTGTCTGTGCTATTGCTGACGAAGTCATGATGACGAACAACTATCGGAGATATATCCTGAGGGACGGAACGGCCGACATTTGTCGAGCATGTCGTCGGCCTGGTGAATCCCTCAGACATATCGTCTCCGGTTGTTCTCATCTGGCCAACGGTGAGTATTTGCACAGACATAATCTCGTAGCCAGAATTATTCACCAGCAACTTGCTGTTCAATACAACCTTGTAGAATCCGAGGTGCCGTATTATAAGTACCCACCGGCGCCAGTTCTTGAAAATGGTCATGCAACGCTCTATTGGGATCGACCTGTCATTATGGACAGGACTATTATTGCCAATAGGCCTGATATCGTATTGACAGATCGATTGAAACGCCAGGCAGTGCTCATCGATATCACCATCCCGCATGACGAGAACCTCGTGAAGGCCGAGAAGGACAAGCTCAGCAAGTACCTGGACTTGACCCACGAGGTAACCGCTTTGTGGGATGTGGATTCGACGATCATTGTCCCTATAGTCGTTAGCGTAAACGGTCTCATAGCGAAGAGTCTCGACCAACATCTAAAGAGCCTCTCGCTAGATGGTTGGGTCAAGGGGCAGATGCAAAACGCAGTACTCCTGGACACGGCGCGCATGACAGCCTGACGCGGTTTCTTTCTCTGCGGCCCTAACCACCGGTAGCTTGGGCCTCGCTCCGCTGCTGGTGGCCTTCTAGGTTAGGTTTTTTATACTATATTTATTTTTGTATTTACGTTTTTACCCGGCTGAGCAATGCAAGAGCGCGAAGCGCGACGCGCAGACAGGGTTATGTGTTTAACAGTCTATATATGTATGTTTGTTCCTTTGTGGCACACTAGAGACCAAACGCCTGGACCGATTTTGATGATTTATACATCAATCGATTCGTCTCAATCATGGGAGTGCTACTAAAGATATGATAGTAATCAAAATTCAATATGGGCAAAATTAGGCGCCATATTGTGACGAAGTAAAAAAAAAGTTGACAAAATATGTCGAGTGGGGTATCACTGTCTAGAAAATCAAAAATCCTATTTAGGTTCCTAACACCATTTTTCATTTTATATGATTGTTTAGGATCTACAACGCTTTAAAGTTGTATATTAACCACTTACGCTTTTAATTTCAATCTTACGTTTGTATGGATCTTTGTTACTCTTTCACCTAAAAAATACTGAATGGATTTTAATGAAACTTTACAGTAATATAGCTCATATTTGATGATTACATATATAGGGTGAAATTGAATGTTTCTATGAAACTTCGTGAGATTGTTGGGTTATGTGTATAGAGTATGCCTGTCTTTTTTCGGATTTTTTTGAAGTATATTTTTTTCATGTATTTATTTATAATTTGTGTATTTTTATGTCCTTTCCTCGTTTTGAGTAGTTATTCATTTTAAACAAACAAACTTACATATCCAGTGAAAAACAACTAATAAATAAGCACTTCTAAAAAACGTAAAAACATTGAAATTCCACCGCGGGTCAACGACCGACCGCGCCCGCCAGCCGTTGAGTAAGTAGCTACCTAACTCTAACCAGAGCTCAACTGACTCGTTTGATTCCACACAATAGGTACAATAAAATCGTCTTAGATGCCTTTATTGAAATTGAAATAATAAGCACAAATGTCATCTTTTCTTAAGCAGAGAAAAACTTTAAAAGTTAATAATAATTTTGTCACGATTGGAAATAGGCAAATGTTAAACAAAAAGAAATACTTATTGCTTAATACCCCAAGAATGAAATTTATAACCAGGTATTCAAAAGTACTTACGAGACCGGCGATTTAGGTAGGTACAACGAGGAACGAGGAACATATTCATTTTTTTCACTAGAACTTTTTATCAAATCAATCACACTGGTAGTACACAATTAGTTGTTTCTAATCAAAAAGTATTTACACTAGCAATAAAAAGAGACTTAAATTATTATCTGCAAAATTGTTGCTCTAAACCACCATTTTGCTGTAAACAAAGGTTGCCTGTTTGCGGACGTGTCTTTTCACCTTTTTTAAAGTGTCCCTATCACTACTCACTGCACAAAATGCAACTTCTATGGTTTCGGGACTCATTCGTAAACCAAACCTACTTCGTCACACTCGCGATAGCAGTACACCATCTCTAAATATTCTTGGTTTGTATACCGAGGCATAATGAAATTATCACAGTGTATGTCGCCAAGTCAAAAGATGCGCACGCTCACACGCGATTAATATACTTGCGACTGCGTTTTGCATGCAATCAAAGCAAACGTCCGCGTGCGGGGAAGAGGGGAGGTGGGCGGAATTCACATCATCAAAGACGCCGCAACCGGCGCTAGTTGCCAGCGTGCGGCGCGCCGCCCGCCCATGCTTGCCGCAAAACAACATATTATTATGTGTGTGTGTGTGTATGTGTGACTGTGGCTGTGATTAAATGTGTTCGGAATTTCATGACGTGGGCAAATCAGACACGAAGAGTTCCTTCCTTCCCTAAGCTCGTAAGTTATACCGATTTGCTCTTAATTTTAAGAAGATTTATATTATTGATTAATTACCTGTGCTTTATGAAATAATATTCAAAGGTATTGTGTATCAGTGAATAAATAATTATA